TTTTTATTTTTTCAACGTTTATTTTTGGGACAGAGAGACAGAGCATGAACGGGGGAGGGGCAGAGAGACAGGGAGACACAGAATCGGAAACAGGCTCCAGGCTCTGAGCCATCAGCCCAGAGCCTGACGCGGGGCTCGAACTCACGGACCGCAAGATCGTGACCTGGCTGAAGTCGGAGGCTCAACCGACTGCGCCACCCAGGCGCCCCGATATAAAAGATATTTAAGATGTAAAAGCAGATGAACATTAATACGGGGGCAGCATAGAAAGTCCCATATGGTAGGGAAATCTAACATTCAACAACTTTCAGTTATTTCACATGGTCAGCTTGAAGATACGTAATGGGAATACTCTAAGATACCCAAAAAGGAAGGTATGGCAGTGTAAAGAAAACAGCTATTCTGAATCTTTATTAAATGGAATCTCATTAGGTTACTCAACACCCCTTCCTAATTCATCAGTGCTCCACTGCCCATAGTTACTTAATCACTAACAGAAAACAGTTAAGGTGTGGAATAGCCATAAAACAGTATTACTGCAACCACTGAATTATGTGCTTCAGGAGACTGAAGTATACAGACATGAAAGACATGTTTGCAGTATATTATAAATAATCCTAATCCTTATTATTTACAAAAAGTTTTGGAATGAGCAAAGTAGAAACTTAAGTGGGGCTGGGAGTAGGGGGAGTTGGTAGCATATTGAGAACCATCGTCTGGTTTTTATGCTAACAGATGCACTGATAAGAACAATTGGAAGTGTTGTAAGTACCTGTTCGTGCTTTCAAAACGTAATTATTCTAGCCTCTTCATTCTTGCTAAAAACCTGCTTTGCAAGGGACTTTTGATAAAATCCTGTATTGAAAGAATTACTGCTAGCTGTTTTCAGTTCAGCATCTACCCTCCAAGGCTGTGAAAATGGAATACAGGTGACCTCCGCTATCTGAAAGTTTGCACTGCTTTGCTTTTATGAAAGACCCACATTAGTACCCGTTTTCGTCAACCAAAGGAAATCTGAAGAGGATTTTTACTTTTTAACTGCTTCTATGTCTGTTCGGTTTACAAAAGTTTTCACAGGAACACTTCAATTTCAGCTAGGGGGGGAAACATGTAATATCAAGTACTCAGTAGGTCTGCCTAATTCTTAATTGTTCACGTTGTGGATTATCCAGTGGTGCAGCAATTCCCTGGTAACACGGGTCCACAGGCTTCCTAGAGCCTCTCCTCTCCAATACTTCTAAAAGCAAGAAAATTAACGCAAGCATCCAAGGAAAGGCGGATCCAGACTTAGAACTTGGGTAAGTGCTTATCCGTTTTGCTAACATTGGTTTCAGATAGTTTCAGTTTCCTCTGGCAAGGAAAGCCTCCAAAGTAGCTTATTTTCAAGGTCCTCTGAAAGATCTTGACCTTATATTAGGTAAAATAAATTCATACTCACTGGTCAGCCTGCATTGGAGCTGACCATGAGCCCTAAATTTACTGTTTTTCCTTATACGTGCATGCCTACGATCAAGTTAGTTTATAAATTAGACACAGAAGATTAACAAGAATAAAAACAATTATAACAATATGTTGCAATAAAAGTTATGTAAATGTGGTCTCTCTCTTTCTCTCAGAACATCCCCCTTCTTTCGTGATGAGAGATGATAAAATGCCTACGTGACGAGATGAAGTCGGGTGTCTGTCTCCAGACCAACAGCAGCTGACCGTGGGTCACTGAAATGGCAGAAAAGGAAAACTGCGAATCGGGGGGACAGAACCTGGCACTGTAACACACCCCAAAATTTCGCCCTTGTAGAGATTAATCCTAAAATTAGCAAAGTAATTCCAGGGCCGTGATCTTACCCATCATCAAATCTATGTCTTCCAGTCTCCTAGCACAGCCTCAGAATTTGTCCAACACCTAGTATGGAAGGACTTACTATGGCTGTGCAATCTAAGAATGAACAGAATTTTGGTTTCTTTAAAACATCTTAGAAAGGTCTTTATTTTTGTTTTGTAACAAATGGCAACAATTTAATCAGTATCAAATTGTTTCATTAGTGGAGTAATATTTTTATCAACCACAAACCTTTCAGAAGGTACTAAGCAACTGAAAGTTAAAAACTTGTTACCTTCGTATTAGAAAGAAATTGTTTTTGTAGATTTAGTGATAAAAAGATAAAAACCCGTAACAAAGGATAGAAACTGAATAGAGTCTAAATGGATTCAGGATTTTAGTTAACGTCAGTGTATAAAAAGTCATTTACTGTTTTGTCTAATGTACTTGTGGTCAACTACACAAACAAGCAACCAATCTAACACTAGCTAAAATCTCTGATTTTACTATAATGTAACACTCATTTAAGGGAAAAGCTAAATTTGGGTAGGAGCCTAAGTGACACATTTAACACTAAGAACACACTAACAAAAACCACTGCAAGAAGGAACACAGGTAGCTGGCGTGTGAGAGGGGCAGTTCTGTAACAGACATGTTCAGTTTTGGTAAATGGCTATCCTCCAGTCTAAACTAATGATGGCATGAAAAACACCAGGGAGAATACATTCAAGTTAATGGAAACAAGTCTTTATTAAGTAACTTTTAATATCAGAAAAATAAAACTCTTATAATTCTCTTTACAGCAAATATATAATATCAGTGCTTTGGCCATCTTAAGTTAAAGGCCCTTTATCATAAAATATATGGTTTTAAACTTTACTCAAATTGAATTTATAATCCCTATGACTTCCCTACATATACATAACAAAAGAGTGTAGTAAAATTAGCAAATACTAAACTATATTGATAATTTATCATTCTTAGTTTGTGGTTTTTAGAAACAGTACACGCACCTAATATATGTCGATTCCTTGGCTTATTAGTTGCAGTGTACGATGCAACAAAATACAAAATACATGCTTGGTGAACATTCGTTCGTATCTACAAGACGGCAGCTAAAGATTAGGTTTCAATACTGACATTTAACTATCCTACAAGCAGTTAGCATTACATCATAATATGCCATCAAGGCAATTTTTATACTGAAAAAATCAAAATAAAAACCGTTATTTGTAAACTTTTATACGAAATGTAACTCTTCAAGTGGAAATAAAAAATAAAATTTGTCTATTTACTATTCAATACACATAGGATTTTCAATTTTTGTTATATTGAGAAAAAAAGCTCTTTTGTGTTGGGAAAATAATGCTTCAAAAAATAATTAGTAGAAAAACCCACCAGTATATTGTTTTTGTCCTTTCAATGCCAGCACAGATTTGGGAACATACTGAGGATGAAGTTACAGACATCCACAGGTGAAATGTAAAAGTGTATCTTAAAGAAATCTTTCCTCGTGATTGGAAATAGTTTTGAAATGAAGTAAACTGATTGAAAGTCATCACAGCTGCTTTTGTAAATTATGCTAAGGGCATTATTATCCCTCTCTCCCTCCCCTCCCCTAAATTACTAAAAAATAAAAATATATTTATAATGTGCAAGACAAATATGGATTGAACATAAAATGTTTCACATTTTGATCTATAGTCTAAAAATTAATCAACAGCTTGATCAGACTAATGAATGGAATGTTCGCATCCTCAATTATTAGCCAATATAGGTGCATCCCAAAGCCCTTCCCGAAATGGGAAAACCCAGGTGGTCATTTCCACATTCACCGAGGGAGGCAATGGGTAGGAATTCACAATCGACACAATTGCATTCCTGATCCAATGATCATACCAGCCGTGAGCATTCTGGGCGAGATGAAGGTCAATGTAGCAGTTTTTGTCCCAAATTATAACCAGTGATCGAGTAAACTGCCATCAGCCCTATTATTACCAATAAGTAATCACAATGCATTAAAAAGTTACTTGCAATCCTGCAGAATTAGGCATAAGTTGTTGTAAAATAAAAAACGAACCTGTTTTGTCAAAACTGGCAGTGTAAAGAAGGCAGCACTGGAAGTGTCTGAATCATCTGTAATGCCAAGTACCCTCCATAAACTCTTAATGTGGTTAGGCTTTGGGACCCACTGTTTTGAAATCTAGACGTATATACTTTTCTCATAGGCCACACAACCTATGATTATCTTCACTCAGCCAAGCTGAACTTCAGTTTTAGCAATTCTTATACAAGCTATGTCTCTGGGTCTACAGGATAGTATTAATAATTCAAACCAAACTAATAGACAAGAGACCACTTAGGTTTAGTGTTACCATAGCAGCCTTTTATAAGTTTACTAACAACTTTAGCCTAATCCCAATAAAGCCTGATAACAGTCATAAGAATTCATTAGGAAGTTTACTGGGGGTACCATTATACCCATGCCTTTACGAGTCCATATAGAGATATAGTATTTATGTATATATATATAGTTAAGAGTGAATCTGGATTGCCTGAGTAACAGCTGTCTGGCAAACTGGACATGATGGCGTTCTCTTTTCACAGATCTTGTTGGCACATTCCATGCAGAAGAGGTTGTGGCCACATGGAACTAGGGCAGCAATAACTTCATTCTCAAAGCAAATCACACAATCGTGCTTTCGTCTCGATTCTGGAGGCGAGCTAGAGGTGGAACCACCATTGGAAGAAGAGTAACTATTGGTACCATTAGAAAAAGCAGGGATGTATATTGGAAGGCCGACATGGTTGCCTGTACTAGGTGGGTCGCTCCTAACCCTCCGAGCAAGTGGGTGTTCAATGCTCTCGGGAAACGTAGGAGACAGACGAGGAGTAGATGGCTGACTTCCTCTACGCTGAGTCTTCATGTTACCAGAAGGATCACTCCCAAAGCCAGAGAGTGGGTTAACTGGTTCAAAGGGGGTCCAGATAGTTTGAGCAGACGTTGGTAAAGAGTCAAAGGCAGGAGAATCAACCGCAAGATCTTCTGAGCCTACAGATGGTAGTGTATCTCCAAACCAAAAGTTCCCTGTGCTAAATGGGCTCGTTGGACTAAAGTCAGCCAGCCTATTGCTTCCAAAGTAGGAATCTGTGGAGCCGCTTCCCAGAGAACTGGAACTATCGTTTCGGTAATTGGAGATCATTCTTGCGCGGCTAGGAGGAACCGGATTGGAGGAGAGCCACGCGGAGCCAAGAGTGCCACCTTCAAAGCTTACGTCGGTACCGTTGTAATGGAAATCATTCTCTTCGTTGAGCTCAATATAGTTTCCTGTACGCATGGCAATATGCATTTCTATTTCTTCTCGCGCTCGGTCGACATTTTCGGGCATCCCTGTCACTTCAAAGACAGGCTCCTTATCTCTGCTTGGAGTTACTATGTATGTGTGGGTCTGCTGCTGAATTCTTTTAATAGTTGCTCCTTTCGGTCCAACTACCAATCCCACGACACGATAGGGGACCCTCACTTGAACGGTGGTTTGACCGGGCAGATTTGGACTACACGACAATCCTCCCAGGGCAGGGCCATTTTTGTTTCGAGATGCACGAATCATGGAGAAGTGCTCTGCAGCTGAGAGAATCTCTCTTTTGGCCATGGCAACATCTTCTTTCCGTCCAGTGACAACAAAAATGGGCTCCTCACCACGAACAGGTGTCTTGATATATGTGTTTGTCTTGGCTCTCAGTGCTTTAATTTTACAACCTGTTAGAAAGAACATATTTCATAAGAATCAACATTTATGTCAATGATATTGATAAAGACAAATCACAGAAAGCTCCGTGCAAGCCAAATGTCTGCTTCTGGACAGCTGCGTTTTTGTTGTTGTTGTTGCTGTTGTTGTTTTAATTTTAGTTTTTCTTCATCATAAAAACTTATCACTAGATGAGAAAGCTTTCCTAACTCCACAAATGCTCCCTGGTCCTCCGGTATACTTGTGTCCTGGTCTTTCACTTAGGAAGAGGCGGTGCCTCTACCAGGAGATCTTAGAAGTCATGCTAATTGTTTCCTTTCTCTTGTTATCAGTCACTGCAAATGATGCACGAAATCCTCTGTACGGGCAAGCTAGACCACAAGCAGGTCTGACTTTCAGAACGGTAATACTTAGCTCGCTTGCAGGATGTTGGTGGCAAAGAAAAAACCACTAATGCATATGTAAGACACTGACCATCTACTGTCTCATTCAATCTATACAAGAACCCTAAGAACTTGATTATTACACTTTTATTGATAAGGAAAATGAAGCTCAGGAAAACGGTTAAACCCAGTCTAACTTAAAATCTATGGTCTTTTTGTCAGTCGAGAATCTCAAATTTCATACAACTATACTATAAAACAGAAGTTCTTTAACAGCTTTCCACTTAATTGTCATCTTTTAACATTACTCTTTCCTCTGTAAACTCACCTGATGAGCAAAATGCTCATGGCCCAAAGGCTGTCTCACATCTGCTGCCATCAGTTGAATGTGAGGCTTACTAAGTAAGGTATCCCCATAACTGCTTATTCTAGTTGTACGCAAGCACTAACTCAATTAACTATGACACAAACCAGTGAAACATGAATGCAAAAAGACACTGTACTTGTATGAAAATTAAGATGATTATTTTTGAAAGTCTCAATAAATATATGTAGCTTAAAGAAGAGAAGGGTGAATTATGCATGAGTGAGATGACTGTAAAGGCCTGGGGTAAAAAACTAACACAGAATGATGCTGCACTCACTGTAAAGTTCTTGCTAAATTCAAAAGAAACATATTGGAAATTGTATGGAATATGGGCACTGGATGGATTTTATTAAAAGACTACTCAGATTGGCAGACCCACTCTCAAATGAAAGGTTTTGGCCCCAAATCCTAAATGCATTTAAGTTAAAACAAAATATTGGAGATGCACATACATAACAATCCATTAATTTTTTAATTGACTTTTTAGAGCAATCACCTATTACCAGAACCAACTACATGAGATTAGAGGGCTTCAAAGTGTAACTTAAGTGTTAAATGGACAACTGAGCCATGGGGTTATAGTTTTCAAAGATCTTACCATGAAGCTTGCTAGAATACATCTGTTCTCATGAATATATTATGTTATCTAGGTTCCTCAAAAGGAAGAGGACAGGTTTTTTTTGTTTGTTTGTTTGTTTTTAGAGAGAGAGAGAGAGAGTGCAAATAGGGGAGAGAGGGAGAGAGAAAGAGGAAAAGAGAATCCCAAGCAGGCTCCATGCTCTACACAGACCCTGACGCGGGCGGGGCTTGACCCTTGGGATCATGACCTGAGACAAAATCAAGAGTCACTGGCTGAGAAACCCAGGTACCCTGAGGCCAGGTGCTCTTAAAGACACATGTCACACTTTGGGGGTGGTCTTTTTCTTAAATCTTTCCTCCCTTTTTTGCCCCCAATGAATTCATAACACATACAAACTGAGTCTTTACATATATCATTTCTAACCTGCTAACTGTAAAAGCTCCTCCTCCCCCAAGTCTTCCTGCCTCCAGTCCCACCTCACTCCAACCCATTGGCTATATTCATTTTAATCAAATGATGGTTTCTAAATAAAGCACAGATCACATGATCACTTCTTTGCATAAAGTGCTTTAATGGCTCCCTTTTACCACAAGGATAAAGTCCAAGCAATTTGGCACACAAGGCTCCTCTTTACCTGGGAACCGATTACCTCTCTCTAGATCTATCTCTTTACCACTTGCTTTTTCTCCTTCCTCACTTCTGTAACTCTGCAGTGTGCTCTTACCGTATTAAACTCCTTACCCATGCTCCCTTGCTTCTGTGACTAGAATGTTCCTTTGTCCTTGCCTCTTTACTCCCACCTCTGCTTGCTTTTTAATTCCTGCTGGCCTTCATATTTTAGTTTAGATGCCTCATCCTCTACAAAGGTTCCTATCCCTCAGGACTGCTTTGTGTACCCTTTTAAGCATAAGCATTCCCAAACCACTGGATGGTTGACTAGAAGTATATACCTTTAGGGCGCCCATACAGCACGTGTTGAAACAAAGATTGGTTTCCTTTATAAACACTGGGCCTTTCTTATACATATTGCTTTGAATGTAAGGTTGTTTTTTGCTGAGCTTTTCAAGACTTTCATCTTCTAGCCCCACATTGCTAAGGCAACTTTGTTGAAGGGAACTGATTATGCTAACTTCAATTGTAACATATGCAACACAACTTTCTTCAACCTACCATTGGATTTTTGGAACTTAACCCACACCTATTCCCCCTTTCAACAAACTGTAAAACTTACAAAGAAATGGCTTGTTTTCTCACTGCTGGATCCTAGGTGCCTATCATAAAAACACTTTGAGAGTCAAGATTACTCTAATTCAAAGATACTCATTTGAGAAGATTTGGCAGGGAGGGGCTAAAAGCAAAACTGCAAGGAAAGCATTTAGTGCAGTAACTGGATAAGGTAAGAAGGGTCAAGGGGGGGAGGAGGTGGCTTGGGGGCAATCAAGAAATTACTTCAGTGAGTTGAATTTATGCTACTGTAAAACTCGAAAGTTTTAACTACAAAGACTCTGCTGTAGGGGTGCCTAGGTGGCTTGGTCGGTTAAGTGTTGAACTCTTGATTTTGGCTCAGGTCATGATCTCACGGTTGTGGGATGAAGTCCCGCACTGGGCTCTGTGCTGGGCACAGAGCCTGCTTGGGATTCTCTCTCTCCCTCTGCCCCTCTCCCTTGCTTGTACATGCTCTCTCTCTCTCAAATGAATGGATGAATGAATAAATAGTGCTGCTGTAAATTTACATTTATAAAGAACTACAAGAAGATTGAGTTGATAGTGAGAACTACAAGAAGATTGAGTTGATAGTGTTACTTTTGACTATAAGGCAATGCTACTGCTTTTGCTCCACAATAGAGAGTGAATTAGAAGACACGAGCAATAAAACTTCCATATCTATTTTTTTATATAGACTGAATCTTCAGAAGACTCCCTCTTTCAGCACAAAAGATGTTGCTTAGGGCTGTGAACCGAGAGCACTTTCCATTGGCCAATATGTGACTGATGGAGAGCTATCTAAGAAATTCTAAAAGGCTGTGATGTGAACAAATAACTAACTGTTCACATTATACATCCAGGGGAGTTATTGTTATTATTCAGATACTCTGGGCTACAATTTAACAACAAGGCAGTCTGCTGGAATCACATTTCTAACAAAGAGGGTCCTGTTCATCCTGCAGAAAAACACTGGGAATTTCTATTAAGGACAAAGAGAGAAATAACCAAAGAGTTTGAGGTTAGTTCCTCTCAATCCTTACTGATACTGACCACTAGAAAATTGAATTAAGTAAACTTCTCCAAATAAATACTTTTGAGACTAGAAGCAACCATCAGTCGCATGATACAACACTTTTTAATACCTAGTAGGAAGAAAATATGCCTAAAGGTACCCAGAATGCTATCTGGCCTAAGGCCGGTACTAACAAAGAGGTGTTTAATAACTGGCTCTGGAGGACTGAAGACAAATATTTTGAGTGGGGACCACTTCTGAGATAGGGGAGTCAGATAGGCCTATCCTGCCCCAAAGGACTGTGTACTTATTTAGGTCTTCCAGGTCAGAGGAGGTAATGGGAAGGTAGCAAAGCCCAGCCCCTCTAAGCCACTGCCAACAAAAATAAAAGAATGTATTTCTTCTCTCTCCTAAATTTTCTAAGACAGTTTTAACACAATAGCCTCAATTTGGATTAGGACTACAGGAAACCTCATCAATCATAATGTTGTTTCTATAGGAACATATACACTGAGGTTCAAACAACCAACACATGATTTCCAGGAATGAATGAATATATATATATATATATATATATATATATATATATATATATATATATATATATATATATATATAACAAAGTTGGGGACAATCTGACTAGGGAGACTTCTAAATAGGCAACACAAACTAAAGAAAAAACAAACTTGTTTTATTATTTTATAGGTGAAGGAGGTCAAAGGTTTTTAGAGTATTTTAGATTAAGTTTCTATTTGCAAAGTCTAAGATATTTAAAAAATCACTGAAGAATTTATAATCTCAGAGTGGCATAAAATTCAGAGGCCATAAAAGTACAGATAAATTAGATTACACTTAAAAAATCTGCTGCATGGCAAAAGTCACCAAAAATAATTTAAAGAAATAATTATTTACAACTTATACCACAAATGGCTAATTTCTCTCTCTTACATACATACATATACCTGCCCTACGTATCAGAACACCAAAACCTAATTTAAAAAAAATAAAAGAAACTGTTCACAGAAAAGGAAATCTACAAATGGCTACGAAACATGAAAATTCCCATTTCCATGTGAACTGAAGGGTCTTTTTCCACCTATAAGAATATCAAATATCAAAACAAGTATCAAAAACAGTGCTACTAAGAACAGGGAAAAGGACCTTTATATTTAGTTGCTGGGAGTATGAACTGCCCAAGGGCAGTTTGTATTATTTATCAAAATTACAACTGCATGGATCCTTCTGCTCCTACAGTCCCACTCATAGAACTGATCCTGCAGAAATACTTGCACAGGTATAAAATGACCTTTGTATTATATTACTTAATTATATTAGCATGAGGCCAGTACAGCTATATAATGGAATACAATGCAGTCATAAAACTGGTTCACTTAGGGGAACAGGGTAGAAGGGAGCCTTAATTTTCCTCCACACTCTTTATATTATTTTAATAATTTTGAACC